CAATCTTTCCGAAAAATTTGCAGCCGGGTATTGTACAGCAAATTACACAGATTATTTTGGAAATTTTTTGAATAAAAATAATCGATTTAATAGAACGTATTATTGTCGGCAAACATTGGAGAGCTCTGCTACTATTTTTACTGAGCGGGGAAAATGATTCCAATTAATTAAATAAATCTCGAAGAGGAATAGTGAATTCCAGAAAATTCATTTTTACTAGGAAAAAGTTGTACAACTGTTTTTTGAAGTTGGTTTATGGTTAGGAAAGGATACGAAAAATGACATGGCAATTTTTATTGACTAGTGCATTCATGGAAAAAATATGAAAATCGAAGAAGCTTTCAAAATGATCCAATGAATGAAAATTCACTTTATACAATAATGTACACATTTCTTAGTGGTAAATTAGGCCATTAAATTTTGTGCTGAGTACGAAATAAAAATTTTGAAATATTCAACAAGTTACATTGGACTAAATAATTTAATAATTGATGAAAAGAACAGAACTCTATAATTAAGGTACCTATTAGAAATGAAGAAATTATTTCTCTTCTTAAACGACCAAAAATATCAGCCCAACATAACCCATGAAATAGTATAATAATTAAAACGATCGCTATTTATACTTTGACCGAATATAATAAAGTTTTTTTTTGATAATAGTGCATTATTTGAGACATTCAGTACACCATATAATTTACTTTGAAACTATGTATACAGCTATGCTTAGAATACCTTGTGAGTGGTTCACACTTAGTAAGAAAAGATCACTCCTGCTCATACTTTATGTACATTAGTATCTTTACACGTATTCATTGTAGTTACGAGCTCTAAATACAAATATAGGATACGGACATTTATATGGGGAACTATTAATTAATACACAGGCTACATAGGTTATAATACTGATACACGCAGGGGTGACATCTACCGGGTTCTTAGGATTTCGAACTGAAGTGACAATATTATTTATTTATTATACAATACCACCAAAGATGCAAAACTCATTGAAAGAGTCGCATATATTCCTCGAAATTATAAAAAATTTTCAACAGCGCATGAAAGAGATGAAATTTTAAACCATGAATAAGTTCTGTTAATAACATTCATAATGCAATATCTTAACTAAAAACTTTGTTGTCAGTTACTTCTTCTGATGATTTTGCGTATAATGTAGTTATCTCGGAAAAAGTGCCGTTGAAGAATGGGGGATTCAAAAGCCTGTCAATTTGAAGGACCAAGTACTCAACAGAGGCGATAGCTGGGGCATTCCATGAAATTTCATGTGAATCTTAAGATTATTCCTCATATACCTCCTCCCACAGTTATTAATCCGGAAATATGATCTGCGTACACGGAATATCCTTCACAAGAATATCCTAGCTAAACAAAATTTTTATATCCAGCGAGTAGGCGCGTAAATGATCTTTCGAAACGAGCGATGTATCGTCATGTTGAAGTAACAGTGTTGCTGGGCTCACCAAAATATTTCAGATCAAAATTTTATTTTCCAAAAGATGAAAATGGCGAACCATAATTTGATCGTAAGATTGGTTTTGAATGAACTTGCTTGTTTGTATCGGTATCGGTAAGACATAATAAAACGCGAATTATGATTTTTTAAATAATGCATTCCTTCTGCATTACTTAAATTTGGGTAAAAATACACGAAAAGTATTTCTCGATCACAATTCCACATTTCGTATTCATCCAACGTAATTAATGAAGTGTCGAGCTAATTCAAGACAATTCCCTCCGTATAGAATGCACGAATAATAGGCTAGCCATTTATATATTTGGCTGATATGAAGGTAACGAGCACATTGAATATCGCAAAGAGGCCTCTTTCAACTATGGTTCATCTTTTCCAAATAAAATATCGCGGAAAATAATAAACAATATAACAATTTAACAAACAAATGAAATCGAATACCATCGTTCGTGAAGTAAAATAACGAAATTACAAATATTTACCGTATCACATAAACGAAAGACGAAGAAGGTGACTTTCGTCTTGACGTGTTTAGTGATGCGTGTAGTCATGAATTACGTACTGCATAGGGACGATGCCTGAATTTATATTACGAATATGAATTCGGAATTGCGAATTCATATTCGTAGTTCAGTAGAACATGCAGTAGGAAATCGAGCGGAATGTCGTACGTCTGTAACTGATGTAAGCATTTCTACCATACAGCATCAGGTCACGAGCTAACCACAGTCATAAATGTTATTCAATTAAATACACAATTGGGTACAGCAACCGTGAACGAAGTTTCATATAAAAGCGATAATGAACTTTAATTGGTGCACTTTTATTAAATGTGGCGATGAGGGAACACAGAGCTTGAGCAATGAGGGGAGTTTGGAAACCGTTCGCGGTTTGCCTTTCATAACAACCGTCAACTTCACGTACAAACTTATACACGCCCGGATGATATTAAAATAAACGTTCAAATTGCGCAAACAAATCGAATAATTAATATAAAAATAATCAATTTGACGTCCTCCTTACGTTCAACTATGAATGTAGAATTTCGATAATCAAAATAACGGAAAAGTCGAGTCGATGAAGGCTCAGGATGCACTAAGGCTTCTATTTTCATGTACATAAAATTAAAAAAAACTGTTAAGATATGCTAGAGCTTCATTTAGTTCACTATTGTTTATATATAGGAAAAAACCTGCAAGCGCGGTAATTTTGATGTCAAATTGGCCGTTAAACACTTCATACTGGCACACTTCGAACCCCTCGAACGCATGCAAACCACCAATATTTTCGCATTTCCCGAAGTTCTTAAGGCAATTTTAAGCGATGAAGGGTTAAGCTCGTCGAGTTGGGCGCATCTCATAGAACATTCAAGGCGACTGCGGCCGCACAATGGAGGCTGATGAAAATCATGCGACGGGAGCAGCTGTGATCGCAGTCTCCGCGAGCCTCAATAGAAGGATGCTAGGAATTTTCCAATGCGTTGCGCGTGATGAGATGACGCGAAAAGTACATGACCGCCGATTTGTGGAGGCCACTGCATGCGAGATACGGGCTGTGCAATAATGAATTTTAGTGATAGATGATGAGCTGCGCATGCACTGGATTGCTTCATAGATAATTGTTTATGCAATTTATTAAGGTTCCTGACGGGAAGGAAGTTTTGCAACAGAATTTGGGAATTAGTTGAAACCATACATACACAAAAAGAAAATTGATCTGCATATGAACCTGTCAACTATTTTAATTATTGGATATATTCTATTCATTAGTATAGTTATTGTTCCGTTGGCATAATTAACGGCCATAATTGTGGCTAATAATTTGGAAAATTCCATATATTTAAATTTAATGAACATGGCTTAACAGTGTCCCTCTGAGGCATAAAATAATTCTTTTAAAAGAAAATATTAGATTCGATGAAAAAATAGAGAATTATAAAGTCTGAAATAAAAAAATCATGAACGAATGGTCACAAGTACTAAAGTTAACACACCATTGTTGTGACGCGAGCTCGTAACCTACATGCATTCCATTTGGGCGCCGCGTTAGTATGCAAATAAGCGATCAGATTTCAGGTTCACGAAAAAGCAGTAACAACTGCGTTCATTTTGGCCGGCACAGGAAATGTTCACATGTCGAATGCATTGCGCGATCAAGATTATATTGCAGGTTGTCCAGAGAGTAATAGCGCGTGTCAATTGCCAGTATAAGCAATCGGAACAACGCAGTTTTTTACTTGAGAACTCCTTACCGAATGAAAGCCGAGAAGAAATGTTAACACATAGGCAAGCGCAGGCTTTATGAGATACACTTCATAGGAAGCAATACTTCAGATAAATGCTTTGATAGAGAGGATTTACTAGGGGCGAGAAGGCACACACTACAGTGTTGGAAAGTTGTGGAGCAAACAGTCCTTAGAATGTAAAGTTCGAAGTGAAATTTACGAGGCCTGCCAAGATTTCGAGTAAAGATTCAAAGGATATCTAAATGAAATATATGCAAGTTTTAATGTCTGAAAAAATTCTTCAAACATAGATTAAAATTATTGGTCATCATATGGTTATCATCGACTCGGTAAGTCCTAAATGATCAACAGGTCGGTAAGACAAATTCTCATAATCATATTTATAATTGTAAATTAGGAAAAGTGTATTTTTTTTAAACTTAGCTAGATTGGGGTAATAGAGCGCAAATAAATAAATTTTATTTCCATTTTTAGTGAACAAATCTGTTATGCGAACACAATGCAATTGAAATACGAAAAAATTGGCAGATAAAAGTAGAGATCATAGCTTGAAACTTTATTTCTATTTCAAAAATATTTTTGCAAACTGGCCCGAAAAACATTATGCCGTCAGGTCAGTCTCAATAATTAATCATCCCATTACATAGCCAAATGTCTCTCAATACGGAGACCGGCAATCAGATATATAATGCACGAGTTTTGGTACACAAATGCATCGATTGATCATTATTGTACTTCTTTATATCAAGATAAACGATTGTATCGATCACGCTTATGATTAAATTATCGTACATGCAAAGTACAACATACAAGGGCTTCTGTTGACCGAAATCGATAGCGGCTTATTCCAAAAATGAATGAGCGCGTAGTATTGTACGGTCACGTCTCGTTACATCTAACATTGTGTCACACACATACTCACATTTACACAATATATAATCATCATAATAATTTTTATTTATAAAGAATTTTTCGCTGGTGCCGCTTCTGACAATTTATCGTAAAAATGTTCTGAACATAATAATTCTTAATTATAATCTCGTATTACACTTGCATAAACGCCAAAAATGTACAAAACGTTACTCCAGTAGCTTCTAGAGGATCACATTTCGTGATTTTTCAATGAGTTTTATTGGGATAAGTACAAATTTTCTTAAATAATTCTAGATTCATAATGATATAGTTTGATTCTTTTTATTGAAAATTAACTAATTTAAAGTCTATGAAAATGCATAAAAATGTATAAAATTTTCATTAAAAGCGATTTGAAAACCAGCTCCATCATCAGAACAAAGCTCATAGAATAGAATTATGTTCAATAGGTCGACCCAATTTACACGGACGATATTAACCTAAAATTGAAAAATATATAGAATTGATATAAACACTAATAATTTGTGGACTGGTTTTTATTTTACTTTACCTTTTATTCGTCTAAATAGGTTTTAATCACTTCTGTGTAAATTTGGTCGTTCCTTTGATTAAAAATTTAAACTGGCGATGGAGCTGCTAGCTGCAACGCTTCCATTGATAATTTGGTAGATTTACAGTGCGCTTTCTTCGCTTCTAAAGTAATTATGAACATATTGAATTTAAATATCACACACCCGGGAAGCTCATACTGCTTCCAAAGCTAATCATCATCAAAGCCTTGATAATTATTATGCAAGCTGGAACTTGCCATTTACGTCAAGATATTCATGCAGCTTTCCAGAAAATTTTGTCTGTCATGCGAATCCCATCATTTGTGTATTTTATGTATCATTTAGATAGCACGCTAACCTTCACCACAAAACATCAATGGTAGAATATCTACAATCACATAATTGCATTGAGCACTCAGAGTTATTTAGGAAATGTATTCACAAAAATATCACACCTGTACACGTAAGATTTCGTCTCGAATGGTCAACCCTATTTACACGGTATATTTTATTTTTACAATATATTTTTCAATATATTCGCGCGGTATGAAAACTCAATTTGAGTATCGCTGCTTGATAAGCAGGGAACGGCACAGAGACGCAGATAGGAAAATATTTAAAGGCCGTTTCAGGAATTTAGTAACTATCCGCGATATACAGCATCGTTTCCTAGCGTGACAACATCAATAAAACTGATCAAATGACACTGCAATTAGATGACAGTCGTAAAAAGATTTTTCCTCACTGACGGGTAATTATCTACAATTTTTATTTAAATGAAATTTCTTTATCCAGTTAATAATCATGTAACACGCATATAGATCTCCACATTTACCATATCGATTTCATATAAAATATAAAGCCTATTTGAAATGCATTCCCACTAACTTATCGCGTCGAATATCGACGAAAATCGGAATTGATTAATCAATGATTTCGACAGGAGTCAACTATTACGACATAATCACTGGGTGGTAATCATCAGAAGATTAAGTTCGCTTAGTTCATTTTAAAGCAATAATTACATAATTTTTTGTCGCGATGCGCCGCATAAAATTTATACTTCGCTCAATAACTCTTCTATATCTATACACAAGCTGCAATAAACATCATTTTCTTACAAATGATGAAAGCTACGAGTTATTACATTCGATTATCATTTTTTATCAATCATTGGATCTCATGAGTCGTCATGATCCTGGCGACGGTAACTTAAAGGCTATGTTTCAACCTGCGTATTAATGCCCGGCAGTCTTTCAGGTCCAGCAATAATAATATAAATGCTTTTATTCCAGCCTTAAAAACTGCCTTGTGTATTACACAAGAAACTTACTTGAGTTTTCATCAAATTAAGTCGAAGCTCATTACAGAATATTTTAGAAACGACTTGATCGAGATCATTTTGAGAATCTATGGCCAATGAAGAAGTGCGAAGTTCAAGAGTGACGGTTGTTTACACTTGTGTCACATTCCTCCTCTTGCGATCTGCCGATCCATTCTGCGCCATAATCCCTTGATTGATGGGACCGTGGATAGCAGGAGGGGAGGATGCGTTGCACTGGGACATGTGCGAGGGTGCCATCTGGTTAGCTGGAGGAGGAGGAGGTGGCATGGCTCCTACATAACCCGTCATATTTTGTCCATTAGGAGCACGTCCGAGCAGATGACCGGTCAAAGGTTCGTCCCAAGCGCCGTTGTAGGCTTGATACTCGCTTGTGGGGCAGCACTGCATGCTGCCTTCAGGAGTGTATTGAGTGTACGCTGGCGGCGGGTCAGTCGAATAAGTGTTGGTGGTGTTGGTCGAAGAGGGCGTCGGTGTCGGCAGCTGATGAGGGTAATCCGTCACGGTCACGTCCGGAAATGGAGATGGCATTCCTGCATCCATAGCCACCATTTGATCGTCTATGATGTCGGCCGATGAATGCACAGACAAACGCCGCTCATGTTCTTGAAGCAACCTAGTCGCTCCCCAGCACTGGACTGGCGATAAGGGACGAACTTCAGCTTCCTTGACTCCGCTGTCTACTGACCCACGTCTGCCATCTTCTTCCAATCCTTGGCCGGAATTGGACTTGATGATGATGCTACCGTTTCTGGATTTCTCGTTCTCGTTTTGCGCCTGGATGTCATCTTTCCTTTGTTTATTCCTGCGTACGGTGTAGCAATAACAGTAGGTGATCAGAAGAGATGCAATGATGAACAAACCTCCCACCGAGCCCAAGATGATCGCAATATCTTCTACTTGAAGGCTGCCGAAGCCTAGGTGGCGGCTGGCACCAAACTCTGACGTTACCGTGTAGTTTCCTGAGGTTGGGGGAAAGTGAAGATACGAAATTAGTAAATATTATTCAGATTACTATTGACTACTGGCTATCATTCATTGTAAATGAGAGAAGATCAAAATAATACATTTTAACGTTGGCTAGTACCAAGATTTTTTGTCGGACTCTCCTTGCAATAAAAATATAAAAATTTTCGTGCTCAGCGTTTCCTAGATTTCCTCTAAAAGCCCGAATCGAACAAATTGGGGAAACGCTGACGAATAGCTGACTGTATCTCCCAATGAAAACCACAAACTACGCAGTTATTGTATTGAATTCCGTTCTCACGAGTGGAGTACGTGTAAACCAAGGCAATTTAAAAAATTTATTGTTTTTTTATTCATTCTAACGCTTGGTGGTGATTCAATAAATAAGATATTCGGTTTAAGAGGTAATCTAACGAAGAACTTATCGAGCAACAATGACTGCTCTAATTTTCTTTTGCTGCAATAGTAAAACCAGAGACACAAATCGAATACACTGCGGAAAAAATGAATTCAGATCTCCGCACTTTTTGCAATGAAGCTCAAAACAAAAGGAACTTGACAAATATAATATTTCATCATTCGCATTGATGTTAACTGATAAGTTAACCAATTTTATCCTAATATTTTCTTAACCATAAAACACAAACAATGGCGAGGAAAACTCGCATATTTCGTCATCGACAATGGGCACTACTGTTGCTGGCTATATCCGATGCAGCTGCTTTCAGAAAATATAAGGACATTCACGAGTATTTACTGCACACTAGATACACGGCAACGCTCTCACTTCCCAACACCTACAAAATATTCTAGATAAAAATTGAGCATTGGCCAGGCACCTAATTGGTAGACGCACAAGTGCCAACATTGCACGGCGAGGAAGTCAAGACACTAGTTTTACTCAAAGACAAAGCTAACTAAAGAAATAATTTGCTTTACTTGTGATAGCCAGCTTTTAAGGCGCTTAATATACGAATAAAAAGGTGCTACAATGACACAAAGTAACGAATAACTAGAATTGCGAAACACCTTCATACAATCGCGGAAAAGAAATTTGAAAAGGAATATCCTAACTTCCCGTACAGTGAGATCGTAATCGATCGAGTGATAAATGACCAGGGAAATAATTTTAGACTCGGAATGAGTCTGTCATCACCGGCTCGGTAAATATCTGTGACGGACGCGCCGCATTTCTCATTAACGCGAGTGATGGAGGGACGCTCTGTTATCATCGCTGGGTCGTGTTCAAAAGTAGATCTAGATTAAAAAAGCCCACTTCCAGTCTTCAGCAGAATTTTAGTTTATAATTCTGCTGGAGACTCTACTTCGTAGTTCCAGCTCGTATTTTAGCGTCGTAACTTTTTCCGTTATTTCGCTTTAGAGTTCTACTACAATTGGTCTCCGTAGGTTAATGTGAGCGAAGAGAAAAATGCTAGGAATATAAGAGTTGGAAATGACATGATGAGTCGACTTTTTCTGTCTAGATTATGATTAAAATCGTGACAATTTAAAAGTTTACTGTTACTGTTTTGCTTGCTTATGTTATTGGTAATTATTACTTGATAGTTTATATTCTCATAAAAATATCTTTGATGAATGAAAATATTTCAATTTTGAGTGACATATTTCGCATACGTTAGCTTCTTACTCGACGTCTCCTGCCAGGGTTTACTTATACGAGTTCGTTCACTGTTCTCAACCTGCTCGTCGTGCTATGCAGAGGAGTTATGCAAAAACGGATATTGGAATGATAAGCGAGGAAATATTAGTAAATCGATTCGTTATTAGTGACTATCAAAGTTTGATGCGGTACAGAACAAGATGAAGTTAAGACCATTCGTATTCGCGAGTTGAAGGGAATGTCAAAGAAAATATTACAACTCGTTGACGTTAAGAGTGGTTGTTAGGAGCTATATCGTACTGTAACCGAGACTGTCAGTCGAAATAGTACTCGCTTGCAATACAGTCAGTAGGAAAGTATAAAAAGACAATTGTCTTTTCAACAAACTCTTGGCTGTTTACTTGAGTAATAGTCTGTGCCATTGCAAGAGTGGAATGGAAGAATCTAATAAAAGATTATATTCCGGTGGAGCGGGACGCCTGTCATTGCAGTGGCTTAGTAAAGCTTCAATCACGCGCATGATGCCCTAATGCTGGTAATGCTTCAACTTTACTACCACAGCGACCTCGTCTAATTGTCTATTCATGAGCGGCCTGAGGATAATGATCGTTCAGGCGCATATAGAAATGAACACAGCCGGCCAGTCCGCGGCATGGCTTTTATTTGGCCTGTAATATTGCTGTCAATAACAGGATTTATTTCCATGCGTCTTATTGAGGTCAAATCTTTTATGAAAACATGATGAAAACTAAGCTTGGTTTACAGACCGGAAACAGGATTTTTAATAGAATTTTCAAGATCTGATTTACACAATCTAATGATTGAAAATTCATCCTGGTACAATTAACTTTTAGTTTTCATGTCGTAGTAAAAAAATCACTCACCATAAGTTTCAATGGAGGTGGTGAGGCCAGGCTGGGCGCCGGCGGTGAGATTAAAAATTCAACGAGAAACAGGCGATATTTATTTCATATTTCTTATTAAAAAACATCACTAGCCGTAAGTTTTAGTGGTGGTGGTGAGGCCAGGCTGGGTGCGGGTGGTAAGCTTAAAAAATTAACATGATAAAGCCGACTTTTAGTTTATATTTATTATTAAAACATCACAAACCGTAAGTTTCAGCGGAGGTGGTGAGACCAGGCTGGGTGCGGGTGGTAAGATTAAAAAATTAAAAAATTAACATGATAAAGCCGACTTTTAGTTTATATTTATTATTAAAAACATCACTAACCGTAAGTTTCAGCGGAGGTGGTGAGGCCGGGCTGGGTGCGGGTGGTGATCTCGTAGGTGGTCGGTGGCCGGGGTACCCACAGCGTCGCGATGTTGCCGATGCCTCCGATGTTGCCTGACCCGTCGACAGCTCGGATCGTGACGTACCAGAGCTGCGCCGGGCGATCATAATAAAGTCGTAAAAGCAGTAAGTCGTAATGTCCAAGACATTAAGAATAAAGGCAATGTCAGCGAAGTTCATGCGCTCGAGTATAAAAATGATCGATGATGTCATGGACATTCAGTGAGGGCCGCTGAGACACGCAATAATATCTGCGTAAGGAGCATGGACGTTGAAATGTATTGAGTGAATATAGGTGTTGAGCTAGTAGATCTTTGAAAATTTAAATGGGGGATGTTGATGAGACGAAGCAAAATTGAAGAAAATAATAATATAATAAATAAAATGATAAGTGTTTTAATTAACCTGAACAGCGGAACATTATGCATGAATTACAATAGAGATGCGAGACAATTTAAAATCAAATTTACATTCATGATAAAAAGTTTTTAGGGGGAATAAGAAGCAAAGATCATCAGTACTGATTAGCAGCCACTAAAAATCACCTGTTCGAATCTAGTGAAGAGCAGCGTGGTGGTGTGAAGGGTCCCAGCAGGAAGGGGAGTGGGGAGACCCTTCAACTTGTTGCCCTGAAAGGCCCGCGCCTGTCGCCATGATGGGGCTACCAGGGCCTCGTAGTAACTGGCCCGCCCCTGGTCCCAGTTGTCCCCAGGCGACGTCCACTTAAGAGACACCTCGTGCATGCTGTCGTTCACTGACACGCGCAGGTCTAAAATTCTGGAGTGAATAAAAAAAATTCGTTCATTGTATTGTCATAAAAAGTTAATTAAAGTCGAAGCAGTAGAACTTAATCTAATCACATAGAAGAAAATAATGTTTTTTTTTGTATTGTGACTTTGCAGGAATCCTCCAGTTGTGCTTTTACTCGATACTAGGATACGAGGAGTAACAAGGAATAGTTGACCAAACTAATATTGTCAGTAACTATCTTGGAACATTATTGAATGCGTACGTTCGATTTTATGAAAAAATACATGCGTTGATGGGTTCGAATTAACGCTTTAATAATTAATAAATATAAACGTCAATGTACTTTAATTGACAAATTGTACTTAAATTATTGCAGTTCATGGTGTCAGCGGCAATCAAAATAAAAAAAAGCTATAAAATCTAATCTTCCAAGATACTTAAATGCTGGTTTATAAATCCGAAGACTTTTCCGAAAATTCTGTGCTTGACATCAGCGATGGTATTTTGACACTGATTATAATATTGATGCGCGTTAACAGCTGTGGAAGTAATAGAGGCAATGAAATGCAACTTCAGTGAGTTATTTTTCCAAATATATAGTCCTGCTAAGATTATTGTTAACATGATGGGATTGACATGAAGGGAATGAAATGCATGTACAGAGGGAGTGTTATTTTGTGCATCAGTAGATGGGGGTAACTGGTTGTGATAAGTAACAGTATCAGTTAAAGTAAATCCTATACTTAAATGCATCAGTTGGGAGCGGTGTTTATGTGATGTATACCTCTCGGAGGAGGGTTGTTGTCATGATGTATACCTCTTGGAGGAGTGTTGTTGTAATGATGTTTACCTCTTGGAGGAGGGTTGATGTCATGATGTATACCTCTTGGAGGAGTGTTGTTGTCATGATGTATACCTGCTAGGAGGAGTGTTATCATGATGTGTACTTGCTAGGAGGAGTGTTCTCATGATGTATACTTGCTAGGAGGAGTGTTTTCATGATGTATACCTGCTAGGAGGAGTGCTATCGTGAACAGAGGGCGGCTCGATCAGGTCTAGGACGCCCCAAGAGACGTGACGATGGAAGGGCGGCGCCCTACGCGTGTGCTGGTGCTGCAGTACGCTGCCGCAGCACGGGGTGTCTCCACGACCGGACTCCAGCGACGGCTAAAATATTCATAATGCATTGAAATTAACGACTTTAATTCACTAGCGGATCCTCTAAATGAAAACTGTTTTCAGTGTTAAATATTTTATATTGTAATAAAAATGTTCGAAAATGTTTTAACGAGTCATTGAATCTCAATACCGGAGTATTGTTTGCTTCGGAACGAAAGAAATAATGATAATAATAATAAAATATTTATTATTTCTATTTGGACACCGGCCATTGTCGCTGATGAGATTAGAATACAATAAAATCTTTAATAGATGTGCGTTAAAAATTGATGTGATTCGTTGGAAATTTGAGCTCGAGTGTTATAGCTGTACAGTAATATAAAATAATAAAGTAACGCTATCGCGAGTTTTTAGTATTTTAGATGTACAGTAATATAATAAAGCTACTTGATCGAGAGCTTTGAGTGTGATAGCCGGTCAATATCATTAGGTAGTTAAATATCATCTACCAGGGTGTAAAGATGCTGAATTTAGAATAGCCAAGCAATACAAACCTGGATGTAAAAGTTGCTGTGGCTGCCGGTGAGCTTATGATGGCGCCCTGACGACGCGCGTGCCACCAGCGCCATGCCGTTGTTGTGGTCGAAGTCTGCGCTGAGGAGGTAGCGGCCGGCGCGGTGGTGGAGTTGTGGTAAATAGCGAGAATAAATCCCGTCGTTACCGGTCACGTCTGGGTCTGGTAGAGGTAAGAGTTTGGGATGGTTAGTGGAAAATATTAAAAAAAAACAATCGAGAAAGTTTACACATATTTGAACGGAATAAAAGTTTAAAATTGGCGCTTTTGAGTTTGAAAGTACGAGTTAGGTACGAGTTTACGTGTTGCAGTAATTAAAACTGCTTACTAACGCATTCGAGATTGATTTGGTTATAGCAGTATAATAATTCCAAAAATTTATTAAATCATTGGCGGGGAAATTAACATCGGCTATCGAAGGATAAGTATGAGCAGACTGTAAAATCTTGAGTCACAATCACTCGTATCTTCGTACTTTCTGATTGGAGGAGGGTTGTTGTCATGATGTACTGTATCATCATTTAGCTTTGAATTTTCTTTGAAATTCACTCAAACTTCTACCACATACTATGCAGAAGCCTGCACACTGAATTTGACTCTCTCTTTAAAGTTGATTTACTGATCCATTCCAGTTGATTCCACATAATGATTAGCGTGGATGCGGCTGAAATATTGGAGCATATTTTACCGAGCTTCTGACTCACCGGACAAAATGAATCAAAATATAATCGCGCTACTGACGTGAACCCAGACGATGATAAACGATGGACAGCTCGCAGCCAAGGCATATGCAGTGAAGAGGTCAGAGGGGCGCTTTATCTCAGCCTCAATGTATTGACGACAATCGAACGAGCGCATTAGACTGCACGTTAATGGACTGTCCGAGGAAATGACCATTTTCAGTGGGCATAATGGAGCCTTCAGATCGAGTGTATACTTAAGCAAATGTATCAGTTTGATTGCGCTGCGTTTCAAATGCTAATTATACTGCAGGGGTCTGTAAAAGCAGTAAGTCGTAATGTCCAAGGCATTCGGAATAAAGGCAATGTCAGCGAAGTTCATGCGCTCGAGTATAAAAATGATCGATGATGTCATGGACGTTCAGTGAGAGCCGCTGAGACACGCGATAATATCCGCGTAAGGAGCATGGACGTTGTGGAAAATGGAGCGTGAAAGTGACCACTTATGGTCGGAATAAATCCGTGCTGGAAAAATCTGATTTAAATATACCAGAGTTGCATGACGTGCCAGCGGTCCAGCGGAGGAGCAGACACGATATGAAACTCCTGTATAAGTAAACTGTGATGCTAGACACCGGTTCGAGAAGCCCTAAATAATATTAATAATTCTATTCTTATTTTTTAGTATTACCTTTATTATTATTGAAGTATATTATAAAGTCGTTAGGTACTTTAAATAACTAGAATGCTAGCAACGGTGCCTGTCGTATCGTGGAAACAAATCCGAACAGCCAGTATTTATGGTGCTAGGCTTCAAACACATAATTGCGAATCCACACATATTCTAAAGGCGACAAGTTTATATAAGTTGCAGCTGAATAAATTTGCCTCAACTTTAAAAAATTCAGCGCTAGCATTTTCTACAAAAATTTTGATAGTCGAAAAAAGTTTTATAGAAACAATTTGTGAGCAAATAGCTTAGAAAAACTATAACTATTTTTGTGTAGAGGTACCCATTTTGAGACCATGACATTTTATCCCACAAACCACTTTTTTGAGGGAGAGTTGAAAAACTCGTGAACCCAAATATCTGCCGCTGAATGAGCAATCTGAGGCACATTGAGGCGCTCGAATGAAGTAAAAAATATTAAAGAAAGCAGTTGCTGTTTTAACGAACAAGGGTTGTACTAGACGGGTATGTAGCGTCACTGACCATTAAAGCAATGGCAAGAACACTAAGGCCCGACTACAATGACAACAAAAACTCCAGGACAACAGTAAAAGAAAATTGTACCACTTCCTAGAGACTTGCTTTGTTAGTCCGAATGGTGTCGTGTGTGAGAAATACGTGACAAAACACCGTTAAAATTCCTTCCATGACGCTACCACAACAAAATCAAGAAAAGGTACATGGGTTATCAGGCAACGATTTTGGTCTGACAAAAGAAAAATTAAACTCAAGTTTTGCTATGCACTTGCAGAAAAAATTACGTAGTATTCAAGAATTTACTGAGCTGTTTAACTGCAGAATAAATTAACTAAACTATAACTATAAATTAACTAACTGCAGCGATAAAAAAGACATTAGTTATCTGTTCTTTAGTAGTTGGCGCCTTTCGGATGAAAACGTAGTTATATGTAAAAATGTTAATTGTAAATTTTGACTCTAATCAATTGCACTTTAATAAAAATAAATTTAGATTCTAATTTGATTTCTCTTTTTCGAACTTACCTTCAGAAATAAGGACGAACGTAGAGGATTAAGAAAATGGAAGGAAATTATAAGTTAGTCACCGATTTGGAGGGCAGTAATATTCACACAAGGAACGATGATGTTAATCATAGGAGTTTAAGGCACGTACTAAAGTTAAGGCAAAGCCTTGTGTGACGCTCATAATGGTTGTTGACGGCCGCTAAATTAACTCTGCGACGCACGCATTTCTCGCAAGCTGCTTTAAGATCTCCTGTCTGGCAGCACTCCAGCTCTACATCAGGACAAGGATTAAACCCTTGACCAGCTACAGCAGGGCTTAAGCCCCCACCATTAGTCCTGACGGCACCAGAAGGCTTTGCAGCCATCCTTGCTACGGACGCATGCGGGCAACAAGCTGCATGTTTTGTTCATTCCTTCCTTTTGTCCATTCCTGTTTGTTCAACGACATATGTATATTGTCATCAAAGTCAATTCATTTTTAAGTATGTCTCAGTTTAAGGTTTCACAAAGGTTTGCGAACATATTTGCACTTTGCAAACGAAACGAATCACTTTCTAAAGTTATATATGTAACCTTATTTTCAATATGTACTAATTTCCGTGAATCAATAATTTATTTTCATTCGTGCAATATTGTAGCAGGTGTTTAAGCCTATAAATTAGAGACATAATGCAACGTTCCATGCACTAATGCGTCCATCGTCGAAATGACAAAATATTGCCTAAAAATTGAATAACAGGTCTGCCCCGTCGTTCACGGCCCTGCCATCAAAGTGGGCACTAATTGTTGACAGTGAATAGAATGGTTGATGAAAATTGCTGCCCTGCCCCGCTATTGATGAGCGGTCAATGAGGCTTGAACTTGCGCTAAAAACTTCACGGGACAGGACCGTTAACCGAAAATGTTCGTGCTTCTAGAAGAATTGAGTCGAAATCAGGAGAAAACTATATGTTGCATCGAAAGAAATCCGCTTGAACTTTCGTCGGTAACTTTACGAATGAACAACGAGAGAGTCCATTAGAATATGAAGCCTGGTAACTTTTAACACTAGAGGGATCTGCTATCCCTCTTTTAGGTGTAGGGTTCCGCAGACTGACGGTGTTGGATCTTACTTTTCCTCCGTTTACATTGGCTCATTGGAAAAGTTTTATAGCATTGAGTTCAACGAGATTAATGGACTCCTTGCTGCTCATATCTTGAGTAAGATACCCACTTACTAGTCGTGTTTGTTTCAGAATAGTTTTGGAGTGCGGAAGTTCATGAGCACGAAAAAATATGATTTTCGGGGAAAAGATGATCGCGTCTCCAATCTTGATGATGGCAAACATGTAAATTTTGCATGAAACATGAATAAATCAGTAACATTTTAATTTCCAGTCGAGCTTGCGAAACTCCAGTTTTGACTTTAATAGCCACACCATTCACGTAATTATTGTAAGACAAAACTAAGCAGAATTTTAAATATATAGCAATAAAATAAAAATGTGCTGCCAAATTTGTAACTAGTCAATCGAATTTTGGCTCTGGCGATCGACAACCGTGACTCAAGATCGTTACACATGGCAAAAGACATTAACAACATAAGAAAATGCATGGAAAACGATGTTATCTCAACTTGAATTTCTAGAGAGACGTTATACCGCTCGTTTTATCACTGCACGCATTTAGTTTGGGCTTTATGCATAGAAGTTGATGGGCCACGGTTAGAGCAGCAGAGCTGCATTGAAGAAGGATAACAAGTGAACTTCGAAACCATTCAATTTGCATTCAATGTTGGTCTTTAACGGTCGATAAGCTTACCTCCAATCCCATTGTCGATAAGGTCGACGAATATTGGCTCGTAAGAGCTCCCTGTTGCATTGACGCCCAATCGTTGAAGCTTGGCTACCACTCTGGCGTTCAGCACCGGCGACTCTCCTTCTGTTACGCTAGCGAAGAGGATCACGGGGCTGGAAGGATCCGAAGCATTGATTGCCTGGTCGCTGGCGCTCGTCCATAGTTTGACGCTCAGGCCCGCTGACGTGTTCCTCTTGGCCGTGACTTGCACGTATAAACCTTGATGAGAGTCCGCGCGGTTCTCCACGGTGTACGACCACAGACCTCGCTATCGTCAGCAACAACAAAAGTTCATTTTAGAGTTGGAGTAAAATATTTGCAAAGATGCGACAAAAATTTAAATGAGTGAATCAATGTTGATAAGAACAGAAAAAATTCTTAGGAATTGTTAGGATAAGCCTGATTAAATGCTTCTCTGCCTCCTGTGAGCATGGTAGAGCTACTGCATTTATGTTGGAGGGCCTGCAATAAAACCGATGCAGCATTATTTATGCCTTCTATTGTCATTGTTGATGCAGGAAATGCAAGAATTACAAATTTAATGCTATTCCAATGGGTTTAATTCACTGCAAAATGGGAGTATGAACCATTAAATTGAGTTTAAATATTTAGCCCTGCAAAACGTTCACTTATTCAGAAATTAGAGAGCAAAAAAATCATCGGATGATAGGATAATTTTGTATAACAATTTTTTTTGAAAAATTATGTGCCACGAATGATAACAGATCAAATCGTTTTTCTTTCTAATTCATTTAGAAACTTCACCTTCACGTGTTAGTACAGATCATCAATTTACTTTGATGCGTTGGGTAAATCATCGAGATGCAAAAAAAAAGTTATCGCGCACGAGATGAACATGAGCGGAGTGGAATCTTTCTAGATGCAGAGAACCTCAAGTGAATTATTAAATCCTGATTGGCGAAAAATCATGTAGATTTAATTCAAATAAATTTAGGAACGAATCAAGTTTTTACTGACTCACGCTCAGAATTATTTCAAGTTTAAGATGAAAGAAGACATGTAAATTGCCGTTCAAATAGCAATAAGTACCTACACCGTTGGTGCACTGAAGTTAAAGAGATTTAGATAAATATAACAATCAACCACCATAACAAATCAGTAATAATTTTTATTATAATATGCAAGAAGCTTATGTGTTATTCATTACCCAGAAGAAAAAAACTTTTGTAAGTTGAAAATCAGAAGCGTGGAAGAATAAAAAAAAGGAAAATTCCAAGTTAAACTCACCTCAGCTTTTTCGAGGTTCACAAAAATCATATTGACGTCTCCATCTTCTTCTTGCAGCGGCACGAGAGTTTCTCCGGATGGCGAGGTGAGTTGAATTGCATTTCCGACGTGGTTCAGGTCATAATAGTAAACCGAAAATCTGGCATTGGGTCCGAGCGAGTCATCAAGAGCGAAGGATCCAGTGGACATGGATGCAATTCCGCCGGGGTAGGCGCTTTTGTGGACCAGAACAGGTGATCCTGGTAAGTCAGGTTTTCCTGTGAATCTCACAGCAGCCATGAGGGCGTCCATGAGAGCGACAAGCATGCTCACCTTCGAATCGTTTCCAACACCTTCATCCATAACTGTAAAACTGCGACCACTGCTGCCGGAAAGAGGCTCCAGGCCATGTTCCATGGAGGAGCGGGTGCTTCCAGACCTCTCCGTCATCGGGTATATCACAGGAGTAACTCTGATCCCACGAGATTCGATGAGATGAATCATTTCATCCATCTGGTGATGGGTTGTGACTCCGGCACCCGACGAAACCAAGACGATGTTGGCCCCGACCGAATCTTGCGACGCCTCATCTATTGTACGCAAAGCCTCTTGAAGACCGCAAAGAATACATTTGTGACTTTCGGGAACGGTCGACGGATTTCTGGGCAAAGCAGAGCCAACTTTTTGTCGTTTGTCCGAGAACTCGGATTCGATAAAGTTGAGAGGCGCGACCCTCTTGGCCACCGAGTTGAATGTGACGATGCCGACATGCGATCGATCAGGAACGTCGTAAACAACGACTCTTCTTATCGCCTTTCTCAGATACTCCCAGCGTCTCTGGCGAACAAGAAATAGAAAATTTAAAACTTTCTAATGAGGCGCGAGCGTTGCAATCGAAGAGCTCTCAAGGAAACGACTCCGACGGGGCGGCATTGGGATTAATTTCAATGGGTCTACTGCAAATATGTGTCTATGAATCCATCTGTATTTTATTGGGAATAGTAAAATAGAATACGGAAGGTTTCGAACTAGAGACTTGAATATGTTAACACATCAATAACTAGAAATGTGATTTGCTGTATATGAAATGGTATAATATAGATGATTGATGCCTGTCAATAAAATGAAAATCAGAAAGTATTTGAATTTTTCTAAAATAGTGAAGTTCCGAAACTTCTTATTCACCATTACTTTAAATGTTTAATTTCAGCGAGTTGGAATTATCAAAGTTCAGTATTAATAACTAGTATCCAGTCTACGCTATAATTTTTATAACCTGTCAAAACGCTTGTGAAATGAGCCGGGTTTATTAGCTAAACGTCGCAAGTCGGGTAAAATTGAACTAATGAAGATAGAGAAATACTACGATGTTCAAGATAGCTAAACTTGTTTCCTTGTGATAAAGTAAATAAAGCAAGAGTTGTTTCCATGAAGAATTTTCTTACTTGAAGATTCATGGAAGCAGTATCTTCGATCACCAAAACGTATCTCGGTCCCTCTTCTTTGACGAACTTTATCACCGGGTCCAGTCCTCGGGACGAGTTTGAAACCGGATTACTGAGGGACAAAAATGAAGAGATCACAATTAAGCCATGCAAGTTTTTACAGATCGGATAAAAACAGATGAAAAATTAGAGTAATTGTATGAATGCTGTGGAAGTGTGGCGAATAATGTCAAAAAACTGGCTACGCAACGAATGAATTGCGAGGCGATGTACTTCATGAGAATGCGTGAAGCAAATTTTCAGTTAAAGATGCAATACACAACAGAAAGGGGCTCCGATAAAAATTATTGCTGATATCATGCAATGCGAAGCTGAAATGCATAACATTGGAATTTGGATCTTGGGACTTTGAATTTAAAAAACATTAGTCTGATTCAATTGCATGTTATCAATAATTATTTGTTTTATTCTTTTCTAAAGTTGCCATATATGAAACGTTCGGACACAAACAGACGAGGCATATCTTATCATATTTTATTTGAGATTAAATCTTGCACCATTTTCGGTTGAAAAATAAATGACAATATATAAGCAGTGGAAAAACACAAGTTTGTGAGAAATAAAAAATATATGGCGATAGGTGAGTAGAAAGTTAATTTGTCCATAACTCTTAAAAAACGAATACCGCTATATTTTCGATAGTATTGTAGCACAGTTTAAAAACAAAAATTTAGTGCGACGATTGCAAAGTTGCCGTTAACTCGCCGTAACTGCTGGCTTGGTAAACGCGACATCGCGTGCCAATATCGTGAAAATGCATACGTTCATCGGAACGAAGTAAAGCTTATGTATACCGAACACGTCGCAGCGATTGGTCGTATGTGATATGAACATGCATGTGCTGACGTTTGTGGCTTGCATTGCTCTAAAAGCTTTAACATAATGAGAGCTTAGATACAATAACGAAAGAAATAAAGTTCATGAAACCAAAACAGCGGTTTAAAGAATAATTTAGAAATAGATTTGATCAGAACATCAGTGAATAATTACATTTAATAAATTTAGAAGAATATAAGAGGCTTCAATTTCAATTTACTTGCCAAAGCCAACAGCGTGCTCTAATGAGCGCTTATTGAACGAAATTTTTTGGAGGGAAGTATGAACGTATACATATTTCATCAACGCACAACTTCTACATTTGGTCGTGTGTGGGGGATTATAATAAAAATGGTTGATGCTGTTGAAAAAAATTAAAAAGAGTTGGAAGCTTTTCAAATGGTCTGATGTGTAGATGTTTACTCAACTGAACTAAAAAGACAATTCGTTAACGAATTAATAATTTTGAATAATTTATAAGATCCTTTGCTAGGGCAATATACCATCCATAATTAATTTACAAATTCCAATTTACGTTGTCAAATTTAAAAGTGAAACTGGCTGTGAAAATAAAGCATGCAATCATGAGTATTTTGACAAAAAATCATTTTAAATTGTGTGGCTAGAAACATTTATCAAGAGGCTTTCTGTAGGAATAGTTAAGCTCGGTTGAATTATTTCAACGACATCCAATTATAACCTGAGCCGATGCATCCTTTTCCACCATCGATATTAAAAAACGATATCAAAATACAGTTTATATCGAACAAAACGTTTACATAGAGTGAAATGAATGATCGATCTTCACTTGAAACTTTGGAGATTATTTCTAAATTTTGCGTGGAAGTTGGAAAGAGCATTTTAAAAGTTTTTGTAATTCCAATGTGTCGTAGCTGGCAAAATTAGAGGAATAATTAATGTGAAGCAAGTCATATTAATACAACCATTCTGACTTTAAATATGAGAATTATTCTTCTGATACTCATTTCTTAAACTCGTTAAAACGACAAAAAAAAAACACTTCTCAGTTTTCGACGCCCGCAGAAGATTTTGCATACAAACGCTCGCAGGATAATCGCCCGAAAAAATCAGGGCATTCCTGTGCCACATCATGTGGGTGAGGAGTCATTTTTCTGCGGCGACCATCAGACTGTGCACGTAAAAATCCGTCACACGGACGCAGCAAATCCAGCTTGTGGGCAAGCATCGCTAAAAAGTCGGAAGGTTCAGCCACCAATGCAACTTGCGAGAAGAAGAAAATAATTTTTTTCCATTGACAATACGCGGGAAATTTATGACGGCAAAGATGTTCGAAATGTCGGAGGAGGAGCACTGCTGTACCAAGAATATCTGACGCACACAATTTTTCCCTTCATCTCCATCTTCTCGCTTTTCACGGACGAGTGAGAAGATTTTGCGGTTTTCTGGAAATTCGGGGCACAGAAAATAGGTTTCTGGAGATGCTTGGCAAGACTGTAGATAAAACGCGTGGCGCAAATTAAACTTTCATTACCTAGTGGACCGCTAGAGCGAGGGCGTTAATAAATTAATTAAGATGAAAGCAAAACATTTTTTTCACGAAAAGTACGAAATCGTTTTTTATTCTTCCTTGCAAACGAAATCGAGCCTTCGACAAATTTTTCGTATAGTTAATTATTGATTGGTTCATCATAGTTGGCCCTGAAGTAGTCTACGGACATTTGGCCTGCATGTTACGCAACAGGATTTTTTTCTTCTGTGAAAAAACAACGGATTTTTGTGATTCAGCAATGTTCGGTCAGAAATACTTCCAAAATTACCGAACAAAATAATAAAAGCTTGTCAAATAAAAAAAAACTTCTACACCATCATTCTAATTTATTTATTTAAAACAAATTCATATAACTTATAAAAAACAAGATCATAACTCACCGGCCCTGAATGAAGTCAACGGAGTTCTGTATTATTTCCCAGGCTGAGCGTCCACCACACATCGAGTTGTGCTTCGTGGGCGCAACTTTGTTGTGCGTTGGGTCGTCGCAGAACAGTCTAACCTACAAGACATCAAAAATAATGGTTATTTTAACATTTACGCAGCTATGTTTTACCTCATAAATGATGAAATTTCAACTCTTAATTTTGAATATAAACCAACCCTAGTAAAATCTTCCAAAATGTAAAGATTCAAATACTCGGAACTGTAGTATTGTTTCTCCAGTTGAATTTGGAACCAAGACTATGCTATGAGCCACAATAGAAGTGATAAAAGGCTGGAATATTGCTCCAAAACTGTTCTAAAAACAGTAAAGAAAACCCTCACCAATAGTGAGAATGCAGCTTGTATTAACCAAGGTTCAAGTGTTGAATCGAACACCAGTCGATGAAGGACTGATAGCTCGAGAAGCGATAAGCTCAATTGTACAGTAATACCAGCACGGAACTCCTTCAGAAATGGTGAGACCGCAGTACGCATGAGTCAAGGTACGCGCTATGAACCGAGAAAAGTTGATGGTTAGAGGCGTAAAATATAGAGGTAGGCTTCCGATTAGAAGGCATAGCTCAGGTGACTTGCGCAACGGTGTTAGGGTATCGATTATAGTCCGGTCTGTAGAGGTATGTACGCACGCATAGGAAATGCTTGCAGTATGAATGAGCAATGCGAACAAGGCAAGATTTAGGGAATTGAGGAATGCAAAATTAAAGCCTATGAAACTCAGAAGTGATCAAGCAACAACGATATTCTGTATAATCTACCATACAGTTCTAAATATTATAACAACGAAATTAATAGTTATTATAACACACAGAACAACAGCAAGGATCTAAAATGTAAAATGAAGAATCAGCGAAAATATGAATTCATCAATCCATTCAGGAAGAATTTAAAAGTCTGCCACAGCTGATGTCACGCTACAAATCGAAATTAGTGATTTAAAACAGATACCATGTCAATTATAAAAACTTCTTTCATGCTATGCGAACTATTCATAAAACATTTTACTCTGAAACTTATTCTAAATTGCTCCTGCGATGAAAAATGCAAGTAGCGGGCTTTAGTGCACGTCAGACCAGAAGCCTCAGAGTTTAAAAATGTTTCTTTAGGGACTCAAAATCAGCTTTAGCAATCATACAGCAGAAGGACGGAGACTCAAAAAGAGCGATAGAAGCTGTCGACGACTGCCTCAAACAGAGTCTCTTATTAAAACTTTTTCTCTCTACCATGTCAATAAGAACGACAGCGACATCTAAGCTGGTAGAAATTGTATTTTCTAAAGAACAATTTCATTTTAGTTACTGTGCAAGAGGGTTTGGTGTGCTTATGCCATATAATCTATGAAAGTTTATAAAAAAATCAATTTTTCGCTTGTTTCCAGCTACATGTAGTGGAAGTTATAGTTTGTATTTTAGTCTTACACAATCTAGTGTACACTCACAGGCTTTATGAAAGTTAGAACTTTTCAGCGATTTCAAAATTTATTTTCAATAAAAAAATATATTCAAAATAAATATTGTCCGATGCAATTGAAGTTTATTTGAGCACTGTCAAGCTAACATTTTTCGAGTCGAATCGAAAATTTTTCAGTACGTCTATGGTATAGCCTAAATTTGTTGTTAAAACGGCTGTAAATTAGCTCAGGCTAACAGTTTTTTTAAGAAATATTGAAGTTTGCGTCATTTCTACATAAAGAGCAATCATTTCTTAATCGCAATCTTGTTAAATAATTACTTTTATTTCTTATACTAACGGCATCATTATCTGTTTTTCAATTATTTGTAAACACTATTTAACTAAATAGTTATTGAATAATAATAACTATCATTATTTTCATTATAATTAGTACCTTTAACAATTTTGAGGGATGTGCCTAGTTTTTGACGAAACGTAAATTAATTTTTTATACTTTTGAGTATTTAAATTATGACACTACGGAAAAAAATACTGCTATGTATCAAATATTAGAAAATATAAACTTCCCTCATGAAAAAATTCAAAGTCGGTTTCCCCAAGAGCTTCAACATATTTCTAGTACCTCTCCATGCAAGGCCAAACCTTCATTAATTTTATAATAGCCAGCTTTGCAGTTCAATGAGTGACATGAAGACTGCTTTGCGCAACTATTTGTGCCAGATGTCAATTATTGTTTCTTGTACCCTTTGATATGTTGTGTCATTATCCGTCGTTACTAATATTCGTATCTGCTTACTTATTAATTAGAGTTACCGTCAATAGACAAAAGGTTACAAAGTAAATATTTAAAGGTAATAATTTACGGTAATGAAGGAATTTTGATTAAAATCATACATGGCTAGTACTCACTGAAGGAAGATCCGGCAATGCCAAGAGGGAAGAGGTAAGGTGCGTGTTGGCAAAGGGGTCGGGGTCGACGGGACATCCTCCTCTTGAAGGGTCACACTCGGGACCCGTAGCGTGGATGGGTCCATCAGTACAAGCCGTACTCTCCCATCGGTGAGTGCTGGGGTCCCGGTACTGGGGAGGATACATCGGGTCTCCAGGGATACCACGTTCTTCAAAAACACCCCATCGGAACTTGGCCCACTCCGCGAGCAGCAACCTTGCGGTGTGTGAATGGGATTCGTTTGAGCCGCCACGAAGACTGTCGCCTCCGAGACGGATTTTATCTCCTGGTCTGCCACATCCCTGGCTTTGTTGTGCCCACGGTCTGTTTCCAAAGACTGGATGAGGCTGGCTTATGGAAATATGTGCGTGAACTGGCGGTGACGCAGTGTTGACCGGCTGGAGGAGGGAGCAAGTGAGGGAGTCGGTACGCCAACTGCGCGGCAACGTCACGGTCGCTTGACGCAGAGACGCCCGGCCTTTGGTTGCTCCGAACAGTTGTTGCGAGAACGATTTCAGCACGCCCTGTGGGGGGAAGGGAACGAATGTGTTTAATTATTTCTGGGGCATGTAATTTGCATACATTGGGTATTGGAATAAGAAGATTCTGAAAGATCCAGAACGCATGACATAATCGAAGATATTTAAGTTTATATTAATTAATCATGCACAGTCAACATATTGAGGTAACCTATAATATTTTGAATTGATTTGAAACACAAATCTACAGATTACATAATTTAATTGCAGAAATTTCCCGACATTTACGCGGCATGAAATTGTCACCTATTAGGCACAAAAAAAAGAAAGATTGTCATTGGATTCGGAAGGGAGCAATGATTCGTGTTCTAATATTTGTTATCGCCTTTGTTGTAATGTTTGTAATCGATTTTGTTGTAATGTTTGTTATCACCTTTGTTATAATATTTGTTAGCGTTCCTGTTGCAATGTTTGTAATCGCCTTTGTTGTAATGTTTGTAATTGCCTTTGTTTTAATGTTTGTTATCGTTTTTGTTGTAAGGTTCGTTAAAGTCTTTGTTGTAATGTTTGTTATCACCTTTGTTTTGATGTTTATTATCGTTTTTGTTGTAATGTTTGTTATCTTCTTTGTTGTAATTTTTTATCGTCTTTGCCGTAATGCTTGAGACGATAGACTAAAGATTAGTGAATGACGGGAAAATAATAGCCTGCCGAACAGGGACAAAAGCGAACTGAGTAAGTGAAGCCTAAATTGATATCCAAAAAAATATTGATAATTGATATCCACTAATCATTTGGTGTGTTGATCACATTGTTGTAGCTCGTAAAATACTGGAATATTATAAGAATAATATTTCAATGTAAGAAAAAAATACTAGAATCATAAATGAATAATAGGAAATAGCATTGTTTCGAGCTACGAGCTCACTAAGATATTTACTTTGCACAAAAAATAATAGGAAGCAACTAGTTAACTATCGTAACTAGTTAATTATTGCAACTAGTTAACTATCGTAACTAGTTAACTATCGTAGCTAATAAAATTATGAATACAAGGAAAAGTTAGAAAAGTCTGGTTACAGTTCGGGCAAAATACAAAGAATTAAGATCACTCGATTGCTTGAATCGCAAGTTTATCAAGAATTTAAAAGCAAAGAAAACAGCGAGAAAACAGAAACGTTTACTCCGCATGAGAAATGCCAATTTTTTGGCTGTTCTCTTTGCTTTTAAATACTTGACAAAGAATTAGTTTGGCAGAATAAATCAAGTACAAAGGTTTCGTGTAGAATTGAAAACTGAAGCAGCTTTGATGAATCAACAACAAGGAAAGCATATATAGAAGTAAAATTTTACACAATGCTTTTGTAATTGGTGAATAATTCCCGCTGAAAATTGAAGTGTTTGTTGCATGATGCAAAGGAACGCAGCTCCAGTAAACATTTTATTTCCTCAAAATTCTTTCAATTTTTGACGCAAGACGTCGTGCAAGCATTCAAGATATCAAGTTTGAAATCCATTTCTGTGCGTGCCGTTGAAAATAGCGTAGAAGCTCATCATTTGGAGTGACAATCTTTCTTGCCAATTAGCAGAATTACCATCAGACTTGGCAAACAAGGAGACTCAGGCTTCAGCAGTTTGTATTTTACCTTGGAGCTCAGACTAGCGTTGATTCTCAATTCCATTTGTTGGAAAAATCTATTTTTAATTTTGAGAAAACTGTCTCGTAATCAAGCATGCGTGATGTAACCTGCGCCTTTGCTCAAATTTGTACATATTTCGCATGAAAATCTCGTGTTATATTTTGCTTTCAACATAATTCTTGCGTACAGGCGGGAATAACATTAGACATTCGATTTAGAGTTGTCAATATGTGTACGACGATAAAGAGCTCAATGTTTTGTCTGAAATTCCATGTTAACCTGACTTATTCTTCGCAAAGGCAAGAACCTGTTATTTTTTAAATAAAGCCTGTCACAAATTACTAGCATCTTTCGTAAGGTGAGACAAGAATCACTAGCTATGACTTCGTGCAATGCATTATTATTGACAGATATATATTTTCAATGACATACTCAAAGCAAAAATGTCTAAGCCTAAACCCATTCTAGCTGGTGATTTGTTAATACAAAATTTACAATTATTGACATATAAGTTTATTCTCGCAGATTATAATGAATGAATTATAATCTGCGATGAATGAATCTATCTATAATAATCTATAATGAATTCACGGTTTTAATCAAGCGGTGCATTCACGAAGTGACGAAACGAAAACATAAAGGTGCAGGGATCGAGTGATTGATTTAGGCGATCAAATAAAAAGTTGTAGATATATGAATTTGACTATGGAAATATTGTGAATCTGATTCAGTGAATTTTTATTGATGAGAACGTGACGTGAGTTTATCTCTACTGTGTCAATTAGTGCGTCAGGTCATTGTTCATTTTTTGATGTCTATATCGATGAGCATTTGATTACTGCGATCCCTAAAATTGAATTCAGCCCTGATAGCGCATTATTCTGCCTTATTATTGTGATTATTATTATTATTATTATTATTATTATTATTATTATTATTATTATTATTAATATTATTATTATTATTATTATTATTATTATGAAAGTTCAGTTGGGGTCAAAAATTCGTATTAAAATTGCCAAATGATGAAGATAACAATGAATTCTTTTCATCATAAGGCAGAATAATGCGCTATCAGGGCTGAATTCAATTTTAAGGATCGCAGTAATCAAATGCTCATCGATATTGTTATTATTTGTTAAATAAAAATAGAAACTAACTCGATCGCTTGAGCAAGGTACGAAATTCTTAAATGTAACCTAATTTCGAGGAATTCAAATTAAATATGCCGCAATCAGAAATGTATGTTTCAGAGTGATAAGATTGCGGATACTTAATTGTTGATGCATGATATATATTATTGCGAGAATTTCGCATATCTTATCATGAGCTTTGGTAGGATAAAAAAGAAACAAAGAAGAAGTGAGACTTCTCTCCTGCATTCCAGTTTCACTCCTGCAACTCATCTTCGAACTTTGGCATCGACTTACTGTCATCCGATGCTTTTCAGAGGAAACTCTGCTCCAGGAAAATAAATCGAAAGCAAGATGTGAAGACGCGGCCATATTGACAATTCTGTCACGACTGCCAGACGTCTCATCAGACAAACGCGCATAGTAAATAGAACTCTTGTTCATCATTGAACTCATCAAAACTTGAAAAAACATTAAATTTACGATGCATTTTAATGTGAAGGGCTGGGGGGGGGTATTTTGATGATATAACTACTCATTCAACAGTGGAAAAGTTATGTGAGTACATTTTTCCAGAGATTTCACCCGATATTGACTAGAAAATAGAATGATTAACGAGTAAGCTAATTGAAAAATATTCGGTTAGATTATTTAATCGATATCTTGATCTTTCATAGAGTGATGTTATTTTTCCAACTAGAAATTGTGATGATTTCTAGTTTGAATTAATTCAGGATTTTCCAGGTTGATTTTCAGCGGAGACAACTCCATCAAAGCTAGTTAGGCAAAACTGAATGAGCAACTTGAATTCTTTGACTTACATTTATAATTACACAAAAAGCAGCGAATGGTATTTGAAGACGGATGTAAGAACTGGATTGATGGAATAGCCCTTATAATAAGGTAATATTACAGTTGGAGTAAAAATGCGATTTCAATCATTACATTAACCTTCATAAATCTTATTTGCACCTAAAATCCTGGTAACTAGACTTAATTAACGTCAGTGTACAAAGGGTGTCGCTATGTTTGACAGTAAGGTTGTCGATATGTAGCGCAGCTCGGAGGCAACCCGCCAGGGCGAGCGCCTTTCTGTTAAGGCAGAAAACCAAACATGGCGAACGACTCGCAAGTGGCCTCGTGAAACTAAAAATATTTGTATTACCTCAGGCACAGATCAAAATCCCCATTACTTCTGCAAAATACGAAAATAAATCACGAACGAAGCCATTTTGGAACGATCTTAAATCAAGATAATTTGTCCAAATGCTGCCTATATGAATAACATTTATCCAATAATTGTCATAATTGTCGGAGCAAATATTCGTTCACAATTTTACATTCCTAGTCTCGTTTCAATCCACATATCGTATTTAAAGTCATTTTTAAGTGTTCTGCTGCTGTATATGCCACTGCTATATAAAGCGTAAGATTATCGAGCAGAGCTGCTGCTGCAGCTTCACTACGAGGAGAAAAACTGAGTTTCAAGTCTTCCAATCTAAATTTTTAGAATTTTTTAATCATTATTAGTTTCATTACCATATTGTTTTTGAATCTTCTATTAAGTCGACACTCTCAGCCTAAGCTGAATAACTTTAGAAAAGTTGAAATGGCATGGGAAGTTTGACCTACTAAACGCACTTCTGGTATTATCGCCTTGAATTTTTTCATGAGAAATACAGATCAATCACAGGAGTTCCTTTGCCGAAACTCTTGTCAATCATTCATGTTTTCGAAAACAAAATTGCTTACTCAGCGGCAGGTCTCATGCATGTTGGCGTTGGTATGCATATCGTCTTTCCCGTCTCATTCAAGTTTCGACAGACATTCCCCCTAAAGCAGTGATTCGTGTTCTTGGCGATGTTTTGATCTGGCGCATCGGTCGGCAAAAACAAGCTTCGATACTGGGATTTAGAAGAGAGACTTTGAAAAAGAACAGAAGTTCTTTGGTCTCGGTCGGTGGAGCAGAAAAAGATTGCTGGAGGAACGAACATGAAGTAGGATCTGTTAGTCTTTACCTGATAAGAAAAAGTTAATATTTCTGTATGAAAATTGAAGCGCAATACGAGTCTCAAAAGAGTCAAAGAGCAAGTCGATGAAAATACTCAAATGTAGAACATACATTTTTTCATCGTAGTTTTCTCAATATGCTGAAAACTCTTAGCATCGTTCCTTTCATATTTTGTTCCGCTGGATGTGATGAGATATTTGAAGGTAAATTTATATGAGTATAAAAGCATCGAAAGTATGAAATCATTCTACCGATCTAGTCATTGGAGAAAATTATATCAGATTTTAAAGCCTCAAAATCACAACTGAGTCATATTACCATGCAAATAAACTCGAAGTGACCGTGAATCTAATGAATTCATCACTTCCAGTTATTCATAGGCGGGCTATTTTGCCGACTGAGATCTGGGTCGGTCGGAGAGATTCTTATGCGGATAGTCCGCTAAATCCTACTGGGTATCCTAATGATCCCTAGCTCATAATGCGCTTAGTGCGTAATGAGCGCTCTATCCTTGCCTTCCATTAATTAAATCGCTAGAAGAATAAAATGAATAGGGTTCGTTCTACAGCCCCTTCGTTGACGGCATGAAACAAAGAGGGTGCGACCCTGTAAGAATTTCAATTTGTACGAGGAAAAAAAGCGATACATCGAGACGTGCATTGATTTTATGATCAAATCATCAATGAACGAAAAAATTTCGGCATATGAATAATAAAATGAGAGCTATTCAAGGGAAAATGGAATAATTTTGAATTAATTGTAGTTAAAATTATTGCAAAAAGTTAACATTATTGTTTAATCTATATTTATCTATTGGTCCAAGCATTTTTAAGTCTCGTTAAATATTAAAATTAGAATGTATAAGCATGTCAAAATAAAGGAGAAAGGTCACTCAAACATTAGAGTAATCAAGCAATTTATTTTTTAGGATGCCGTGTATTAATTATTACTCGACTTTCCAAGCTCATTTGAATTGCGCATTTGATGAACTGATACAATTTTCAGTTGTCTTCGTTTTAGGCGAAAAAATGTGAAATAATTTTACTCTAATTAAAAAATGATTCTGAATTCAAGTTCTCATTAATTTATTTGTTAAAAATTAAATGCTTAGCCACTTTTGCGTAATAATCTTTACCACAATGACTCTATTATGATCACAAGTATAATTTGAAAAAAGAAACGTAAAATCTAGAAGATTCGAGAAATCGAGAGATTCCTGTCCTTCACACGCGACGAGTCTGAAGTTTAGAGTGACGGGAGAATTGAATTAGAGAGTAAAATTAAATCCAGTGATATTCAGTGGCGGTAGCTGAAAGGCCTCTCAAAAATAGTTTCCACCATGTTTTTTTCATTTCCGCAGAGTGAGCGAGTCTTGTTCCTGGTGCATCGAACCGCAAACTTTCATTGCCAGCCATCTAAGCTTTTGCCAAAGTTCCTGCAAAGTTAGAATAACTGTCACAAGCAACAGAGACGCTTTTTAAACGAACTTTCCTGCCAATCGAAACGAAAGACAACGATCGTTCAAATTGTACGCGTCTAAAAAGGATTTTATCGCTGGCTGCTATGTCAATCATCGGAGAAATCATGGACAATATCGATGCTGCGCTCCTTTCCGGGTGTCATGAGTTTAGAAAATATTTTTATCCTGAGCCTGATGGATGAAGAAACAACTGAAAATGGCTGATGATCAGTTGAATGATCGAACAAAACAACTGCAAAGACCATTTCAAAACATCAGCAAAGGATGATTTTGGCGTGATTTTTAGGATCATTTAGTATCTCAGTTTACAGAATATCACATCATTGAGTATCCAGAATGCATTTATAACAAATGAAATCGTTGTTTCTAAATTGCTGGTTGACAATGCTGAGTAAATGATAGAAAATTTTCATTCACA